TCTGCTCCCTACATAATGATCTGATGAGGGAGGTAGAAAATCAGCTAAATTAGAGCAAAAAGCCTGTGAGGACACAAAAGTAGATTATGCCTTTTTAACTCGTACAATTATCGATTAATCGTATAAAAATATCATATGTTGCTACACTATATACTGATTAGTGAATTTTCACTTTAATTAATTTAATTATAATAGTTTTTTAGTTAATTTGATATAATTATAAGGACTTATTCGAGATCGAGATCTTTTTAACACTTGCGGTATTAAAGAGACTATTGAAATTCATTCGGCCAGAATTGTTTATTATCCTGTTGCATTGACATTATATTGTCTCAAAATTTATCTCAAGATAATATATATACATACATACATACATATAAATAAATATAAGACCGAACATATATATTTATTTACATATATGTATGTGCTGCCATTTGCATATTAAAATTTCGTTCTTTTCAAATACTTTATTTTCACGTCATTTATTATTCACTTTTCCATTGGCAAAAAAAAAAAAAAAAAAACAATCATCAACTTTTGTGTAAGTCATCCACTTCAGACGTAGTAACTTTAGCATTTTACTTTAATTATAAAGAGCTGCTTGAAAGGACAAGGATCTACAAATAAAATTCTTTTTTTGCTTTTTACTCACAAACTGAAGCAGATAAATGTACGTATATGGTAGTACCGATGTGGTAGTACCTGTACAAAACTGGAAAAAGTTAAATTTTTTTTTCGAAACCTTAACAACGCTTCAAAAATCGAATAAAGTATATATATATTCCTGGCCAGCTTCAGACTGGGAATGCACCTAAGCATGTCCATCTGTATGTCTGCGCAACTGTCTAGTATTTGTGGTAAACATTCTCCCGCTAGCGAGAATGAAGACATGGCTTACAAATTTGCAAAAGAATTCGGTAGTGCCCTATACTACAACATCCACGGCTAAAGCATTTGAATTTGTTTTCTTAGATAGTATTACAGCTCAAATATCAATATGACTGTCGCCTATTAACGACTACACGAATATTTTTCGATGACAAAGCTTCTAGAATCATCAAAGGAAAAGATTAGAAAAATAAGTAAAAATAGAGTTAAAAAAGACGCTCTTCTTGGTCGAAAAACATCTTATAGGAAATTAGTCATGTTGATCCAAACTGAGCCCACGAGTCTTACCAAATAGCCAATAAGGATCATGAAAGTTCTAAGGATTTCGAAATAAATCATTCGTTTTTCGGACAATAATATGCTAAACATGCGCTAACAATGCATTCAGACGATCGGTCGACGGCCAACTGTTATCTTTATTAACACTAGAACTATCGACCCTTTGGCTATACCTATTTCTATCAAAAGGCATCGTTTTGATCTCCCATGTTTGCCGACTTGCCACATTCGTAAAAGTGTAGGTAGGAGCTTTGATTGAGTAAAAATATCAATACAGTGTCAAATTTGCGTACATCCACACCCACCATAAATAAGAAAATAAAAAAAAACCATAAAAAATGCATAATTTTTTACATTTTCATCTGTAACTTTTGATCCCGCGTTCAGCTTGCAACTCACTTGTATATTTGGTAGTCCCGATCGGCTTGCTAATATGCCCACAATGAACTGTAAAATTTTAATTTTCATTTATTTTGAATTCATTCCTAATTTATTTGCAGTTGGTTGGATAAAATACTAGTCTGTATTAAAGTAAGAGGGAAATAAATTAGAAATGAATTGGAAGAAAAATTTTGTCACAAATTATGGTCAGATCGAGACTATTTTGAGAATGAACATCGCGGTGATCCGGACAAATATTTGCGTCACAGATTTTCAGAAATATCTCCATGGAATCGAAAGTTATAGGCCAAGGTATTAAAAAAAACATCGTCTTATTTTGGACGTGCACATAAACAGATAATGGAAAATTTCTGATCTCAAATCCTAAATCAATCGAGGAAATCAAATATCAAAATCCTATCTTCTCTCTTACGACTGTGGCAAGTCGGCAAAAATAGGAGATCAATGCGATCTCTTTTGATAGAAATAGATAAATACCATTGACATTTCAAAACCTAGACTATGTAGTGAAAAAAGTGGTTATAAGTATTGAAAGGTGGTTTTCATATACATAAAAGACACCCGAAATTTTTGGAACATTACATGCTTTATAATCATTTTTTTGAAGATCGGAAAGTAGAAAAGATTACAATAGCATATTTGGTAGTTGTAGTGTTAATACACTTATATTTGCTATAGAACTTTCCAGAAAAGTAAAATAAACGACGCACGATGGCATACTCTTTTCCATCATAATATTATGAGCTCTCATGCAAAAGCGCAAATGGTTATCATTTCAATTATTCAAAATGTCACATTAACGAGCCCTCTGCTATATTGGACTTATTTGTCTATTCTATTTTCATTCTATTCTTTTTATTCTTTATGAAAGAAACGTGCTGATGTATTCTAAAAACCGTATCTCGCAAATGTTAATATGTTATGAAAAAAACGGGATGAAAATTGCACGCAACTGATGTATGAAAAACTCGGTTTTCAGAGAGAACAATTAAAGTAAGTGAGAACATTATAGTCGGACAAGGCCGACCATTTAATACTCTACATTACATTGTCTAACACAATTCTTATTCTAAAGGCATATTTTTCATGTGCGTATCTATGGGGGAGCAAGCCCAAAAGGCAACTTAATGTAGTACAAGTCTAATCTTTACATAGGGCAATATCAAAAATAGGTGTAAATGATCCAAATTTTGAAATTACTATAATATCATGGTTCAATTTCTATCATCACATATTAAAATTTTGTTTTTTTTGCTCTACAACGGTTCAATTTTCGTGAAAATCCTTATTAGGGCAGGATCGAAAAAATAGCCTGAGATGGTTCATATTTGGTACAGTCACATTTTTTATGTTAAGTTACAATTATGATACAATTTTCTTCATGAAGCATTGAAAATTGTACCTTTTTGTCGTATGAACTTTAGTTTCCGTTCAAAAATTGCCTCGGCCGGTCCGGTTTCCATACCATTTTAGAATACCGTTACACTACTACTAATTAGCCACTTTTGACGGTAAATTTTAAAAATTATAATTTTTTTTCCATATAATGATTTTTTAGAGGAGAGGAGGCATCATGTAGGGAGTGGTCGAAAATGTGGACCGATCCGAACCATTTTCAATAGCGCTGGTTCTTGGGTCAAAACACGTCACTCTACCAAATTTTATCGAAATATCTCAAAACTTGAGACTTGTAGCTTGAACGCAAGTTTACATGGACAGACGGACAGATCAGATCAATTGAGATTATGATTCTAAATCGATTCGATCGTTATAATGAAAAGATAGGGGTCTATCTTAAGACTTTCTGCCGTACTTACGTACGACCGCACTAAGCTAATATATATTGTACGACAAGCGGTGTAGGGTATAAAAATTGATAAAATTGTTCTAACGCTTGATTGATTTAGCTAGTTCTATATATGGTTATGTTATTAACCGGCCGAAAAAAACCTCGTTTTAATTCCGTATTGCTGACAAATATTAAATAAATTGTTATTTATTTATTTACTTATTTATTCTTCTTGATATTAAATAGAAACGGATTAATTTCTACAGCATGTATATATATATGAGCAGGTATCTGTTTACAATGCAGACTCAAGGTTATTTCTATTACATGAACAAAGACGTTATGACTATAACTGGTTTCTCCACGTCCCCAAGCATTTCTCGCACCATTTGACATATTTTTTTTTAATAATGTTAACGATTTTACTAAACGCAATAATTGTTTTACATTTTATAGCATATGCGTAAAGCATAAAAATTACAAAATTAAATATTATATATGAATACGAAATAAGTTGAACTGAAGTCTTTTCAAAAGTAAACTAACGACAATTTCAATTTGTCAAAAATTTGTAATAAGAAGACTTGTGTCATTTTGAAAATGATCCGCTTCTATGCAATTTTTATTATAATTCCTTCTGTTATGTTATAGGACTCATCGCCGCAAAACCAAACAACAGAACTGTTGATACGTTGGGGTGCTTGTATGCCAGCGAGTTGTGGTCCCAATGATATCGCAATTTTTGCAAAGCATGCTCTGCAACGCAAAGTCAATGTTAACGATAATATGTGTCAATTATACAAACCTGAGTTGCATATAACAGCTGGCATGTACACTTACGCGTAAGTATTTGCTGCCTTAATGAATTAATTGACTTTCAAACGAATATTGAATTTTGATTATTATCATTTTACAGTTTTGTCATATGTTTCTTTATATTTGTGACGGTCTTAAGCACTTTATATCATACTTATTTATTAAGCTCGAAAACCGATAAAGACATAGTCGATGTTGAGAAATCTTCTGCCAAGCCTCAGCGAACGCTCGACGAGATTTTATTGACATTTTCCCTAATTGGTAAGGTTTTCTTTTCTTTTTTTTTTTTTTTTAATGGTTCTTTCTACGCGAAAGCCCCTCTTTCTAGCATTCCTTTCTTTTCAAATTATATTTTTATTTTATTTGCTTTTCATTTTCAATATATCAAATTTACCATCTATTTTAATTAAGGCAATAGATCGCGTTTCATCTTTGCATAGTAAATTCTTTGAAATTCGCATTAAATTCTGTCGAATCTATTACAGTTGTTACGATCGTGCATTCCTTCATTTTTATGATGTGAAAAAAGGGTGGATTGTTATCTACCCTTTTCCGATTTTTACGGCCGATGAGCGCAATGACCTCCCTAACAAACAAAACTTTGCAAATTTGTGCCAGGATATCTTAGATAAAAACCTGTTACGTCAACAACAAATTAACTCTTCGATAATCCTGGCTAATCGATTTCTAGTCTAGAATCCTTTAGGCCTTTATCGCTCAATCGCAAACGAGAACGTTCGGTTCTTAAGATGAGTTATAAATCATTTATGATTTTCACATGTAGATTTAACGTTAATCGTTAAGTGATACTATGAAATACTCTAATGAAAGAATCGCCATAATGTGTAGATGAAGTTCGGCGAGGAGGGCCGCTAGAGTGAAAAAAAACAACTTTTTTAATATGTTAGTATCGTAATAAGAAAACATTTTCTTCTTTTTTTTCTTTGATCCAGAGAATTGTAGTAAACTATTTCAGGCTAGTAAAGATCAGTTGAGCTTAAATTGTATAAACGGTATTAAATCGTTGGCTATGCTTTTGATATTAGCCGGCCATGTCTTAATATTCATCTACGGCAGTCCAGTCTACAATGTGGAATTCTTGAGTCAGGTATTTTTACTAGTTTTGATATATTGTACGTTTCCTATAAATGTATTTTTATTATAGAATATTAAATCGCCTATATTCGCCTTTTTACCTAACTCAATGTTAGTTGTGGATGTCTTCTTATTGCTAAGTGGCTTTTTGTTTTGCCGCATTTTATTGGTCGAACTGCGCCGACGTCATGGGCAAATTAATGTTTTAGTTTTGTATGTCGCACGTTGGATACGCCTAACGCCCGCTTACTTGGTGACAATTGGTTTTTATATGACCTGGTTTCCCAGTTTAGGCGACGGACCTCTCTGGCAACAGCGCATCGAACGAGAACAGGAACGTTGTATATCATCTTGGTTTTTAAATATATTATATATCAACAATTATTTTAACGTTGATAAGCTGGTAAGTGCTTAAATTTCGATTTATTATAAAATCTTCGTCATGGGCGTACATAGCCACATGCGGAATCACTTGAACTGTATACATTCTTAATTAACTTGAGTGTAAGAAATCGATCTAGCCCTGACCGTTAATATATTTCTGCCTCTTTTTTGCCCATCCACATTCTATCTAAATATCATGTAAAAGAATACCAAACTTGTCTATATAATTAAAAATTCTAACTTACTCACTCATACTATAGTAAATTCAAAGATCAGAATTCGTTCGTTCCTTGTTTTTCTTGTAAAGAGAAGCTGCATAGAATTTTTCAATAGAAAATAGACGCAAATGGAAGTTGTAACCTTTTCTTACTTTCTATTCTTTTATTCTTTTTTTTTCTTTTTTTCTTTCTTTTTTTTCCACACGTTTTTCCTAAGCTTCATTTTTTGCTTGCTTTGCCGATTTCAGGACTCTTTTCTTTAGCCACGTATATACTATGTTGCTTCTTTAGTTCTTTTCCTGTAAAAAAATATTATAAAGTAAAAGATAAAAAAAGAACACTAGTGAAAAAAATGGTTTTCGGTCGTGAGCGAATTATTTGTGCCTATCAATATGTTGTCCTAAAAAGGACATAAAAAGTAAAAGAATTAATGTTCTAATCATGTTCTATTATATGGAATCGCGCGACCGATTTTTTCTATTTTCAAAATGAAAGTTTTTGTTAGGCGCGGGAATGTTGTGGGCGTCTTCCTTAAAAAAAGTTTAGGTCACTTCCAAATGCTTTTGCAAAATTTGTAGGCGATATCTTCATTTTCGCTAACGGCAGAAGGTCTACCGCAGATATTACACGGTTATGCAAACGAACAGACGGACATGCTTAGGTCCATTCCAAATTTGAAACTGGCGTAGAATTCATATACTTTATGGTGTTTTCAAAACTTGTTTCTGCGCGTTGTAAAGGTGTTGAAAACATAATTAAATTTTGATACACTATAACATTGGGTAGTCGTGATCAATTTTTCCATTTTTGTATAGGTACTATACGATCGCCCAGAGAATATGCGTTCAAATTTTTGTACATTTATCTGGGGTCGTTTAAGAGTAACGAGCAAAAAAGCAATTTTTTATTGCTTTTAATAAACAGAGATATTCCCCGTCTTTCAACCGATTTGGCCCATTTTCAATATCAACCTGCGTGCAAGAACTGTGAATATTTTTGCCACATATGAAGTCGATAGATTCATTTTTACGGCCAGGCGAATACCAACAATGCAAACAACAAACATTATACGAGTGGACAGACGGACAGACGAATATGATTAAACCGATTCGTAATTTCATGCTGATCAAGAATATATATATATATTGTGGGGCCTCTAAAGCCTCGTTCTAGACATTGCAAACGTGTTGACGAAATGAATATACCCCTCGTCCTTCAGTGATGGATATAAGAAAAGAGAAAAGCTTAATATATTTTCATGAATAATTTATAACCAGTGAAATGAAATTTGGCAAAAACTATTGCACAGAATTCGAGAAACATTTTTACAAAAATAATGCCAATGATATTTATAAGAGGTAGGGCATTCATACTCTTTGCTTTATGAAATGGTCTTCATAAATAACTTATTTAGTTCATTCATTTTGATAATAATAATCTTTAAAGTCTCTTTTCAAATTCGTTTAGTGTATGTTTCAATCTTGGTATCTAGCGGTGGATTCGCAACTGTTCTTCCTGTCTCCGATTATTATATACCTGTTGAATAGATCGCGTAAATATGGCATCATTCTACTAAGCATAACAGCGGTGATCACATCAATTATTCCTTTCATAATAAGTTATACGAAGAATCTAAGTCCGACTCTAATGATATATTCGAAGTAAGATATATTGTCTTTTTTTAATCTCTTGCCATTATTAAAGGTTTTGCATTTTAGTGAAGCTGAAGATATAAACAGTAGTTATTACTATAAAAATTTTTATATTAAAACGCATATGAGAGCTTCAGCTTATGTTATAGGACTATTTGTCGGTTATTTGGTGCATGAAATGCAAGCCAGAAAGTAAGCTTTTAATGTTATATAATTGTAATCGAACGGTTTAATCTATCAAGTTCTGTTTTTTATATTAATTTTAGTATAAAGTTACCGTCGCCGATAGTGCGTTTCCTTTGGTTATTGGCTACAGTTATCGGTTCCAGTTGTATGTTAACAATTTCACGTTTTTATGCTTATCCCTATAATAGATTGGAGAGTTCTATATACGCTGGTTTCCATAAAATAGGCTGGAATATGTCAGTGGCTTGGTTAATATTAGCTGCGAGTACCGGTCATGCCGGTTGGATACAAAAATTTTTATGTCATCGCATATTTGCACCGATTAGCCGTTTAACGTATTGCGCTTATTTATCAAACGGTATTGTGGAATTATATTATTCCTCCAGTTCAAAAACTGCACCACAAATCAGTTACATCAGAGTGGTAAGTTTTTACATAGCATTCAAGCTGCAACTATCAAACATCTATTACGATTGAAAGGAAAGAATATAGGATATCTTTTTTGCGACATTTCAATTTTTAGCTATGTCCTTGTTTCTATTGATATTTGTTGAAAGCAGTTAAAAAAGTCGAACACGTAATATGCGAGCATGTATGGTTCAATAGCTACGGTTTTCCATTCCCAAAGAGGTGTACAAATGCCAAAAAAAAAAAAAAAAAACAATTACCAAACTGCGCCGATGATACGCTTTACGTACGAACACTTTTCGTGAAGTGAAGTTTGGCGACAAATTCATGTATGGTCGATTTTTTCCATCATTTTTTTTTTTTTTTTCTTTTTTACAGGTACTGTAGGATTAATCACGAAGTTTCCGTCCAAACTTTTGCCATTTTAATTGTTGTGGTTTAGTTTATAAGCAATGAGCGGAAAATCGCGTTTTTTTGAAATTCACTTGCTATGTTGTATTGTGCGCGTGTCTTTGAACCAATATGGCCCATTTTCAATACCGACCTGCGTGTAAGAAATTCCAATATTTTTGCGATAGCTTTGTTTTTATGTTCAAGAGCACACAAGTACACAGCAAGTTTAGCATTGACGGACGAACAAATAGATAGACGAACGGCCGTGCTTAAATCGATTCATAATTTGATGCTGTTCAAGAATATAGATACTCTACAGAGTTGCGAAAGCCTCCTTCTCCTTGTTGCAAACGTTTTGGGCAGAATATCCTCATACTTTGGTGATGAATACAAAAATGTTTTACGCAGTGAAAAATGACTAACATGTCAGCTGTTAATAAAGTTAAACAATGAAATTCTAATGTCCTGTCTTTTCTTTCTCACGAAAATGCACTCGAAAACAAGTAAATATTTTTTTAAATGCCTTCATTCCAGGTCGATAGTGTAGTGAGTCACATTATCAATACGTTTGCTGTGGCTTTAATTTTATGCCTGCTGTTTGAATCACCTATACACGCTTTGGAACGTATACTGCTACGAAACTCTAAGGGTTCTCGAAATCATCAAATTAGTGAAAAGAAATCGAATAAAAGTGAAAGTCCTCATACCTCAGAAGAGCAGATAGCGTAGTTTCCAAAAAAAAGCATTCAATCTACCTATCATAAAAGTATATATAGACGACGTACATATATGCCAAATCAATATAAGATTTTGAAACAACTAAGACTTGTTGGTTAAATGATTTTAAGTGTAGTACATAAAAGTGTAGAATAAATAAAATATAGCACGTAATAAAAAAAAAAAAACAAAAAGAAAAGAGAAAGGAAAAGGATATGAAAACAAAACAAAGAGCACATCAAACTCTCCTTAGGGATAATAAGCACTTTCTTTAATTTGTTAAAATTTGAATGCTATAATTAAATTGGTGATAATAATTATTTTTATTGTAAGTTATTACAATATATATATAGATATTTTTTGTATATATACATTAGCACTAGTATTATAATATAGTACTTTTCAATAAAATATAAATAATACGTGTAAACGAATGTGCATCTAACTCGCTGGATTTTCTTTTTTTACACAAATGAAATAAAATTTTTATTGCTCATATGAGAAGAGATTTTTAGAAATGCCTCTGTATGACTTCGAAGCTGAGAACTTGGAAGCACTTAAGCACAGACCTTTCCTCAGGAGTTTCTCCATTGAGTTGATTGATGAGTGAGGTTATCTGTCCTCTTACCGTTTCATCGATCTGAAACTCTCCTAAATTAAGAAATTTATCCCATATAATTTAAAATTGAACGGACAAGTCGAGTCAATCCACCTTGCCGTTGGTTGCCTCTTGCAATTCAGGCTCAAATAATAACCACTTCAAATAAAAACATCACATATTTGTGCTGCACACTTAAGCAGGTCCCTAAGCGTTTCATTATAAGAACAGAGTAGAGTGCAACAGTATGAAAAGAAAACTTTTAAAGATGGAAAGAAAATACAAGAGAAAAGTATATAAAAAATTTAAAAAAATAAATAAATAAAATTAGGAAGTTATTTATGTTCAGCGATGACGAAATGCACTGTTGCATAACCATCACCGACCAAAAAGGAAAAAACTTAAAATTTTCATACTCTTAGTCCAACGAGAAACTTAAATAAATGCTATAAGTTTAAAATTGCATTAGTTTTTATTATTGGTATTATTATTATTTTGCATTTTTCGCAACGCTCCTTCGGTTATGATAGCCGCACTTCCTGAAAACATAATAACTATTGTTTTTCTATCGTTGTGTGCGTTCCAGGCGAAATTTGATAAGATCTTATAAGAGAATAGAGTATTGGAACGTTGACGATGCAAAGATCTAATATTAGTGCAGATAGGCAAAGAATTAACATTAGTGTAGATAGATAGAAAGGTAAATTACATAAATAGCTTTGAAATATAGAAACAAACGATCATCATTTCTTCATGTTTTTCGTCTTCGTCTTTTCGTTGGGCTTGTGTGTTTGTGAAAAGCCATACGACTTGTCACTTCCCATAAAGATAAAAGTCAAGAGTCAGCACAGTCGAAGTCCCAATCCGAAAACATATAAATAACGCCTCCTTGTGTCTGCCCTCTAACTGCTTCTATTTTCTATTTTTACGTAAACACTTTCCACGGCATCTGGTGCGATTGGACAATGATTATCTACGAGCGGTGTTCAAAAAACCCGGTGGCTCTTCAAATTTTCAAATTTAAGTCCATTCGATTTTTCAATTTTTTTTTTTTTTTTTTTTTTTTGTTTTATTATATTGATTTATGTGCCCCCAACATATGCCCACATTATCAGGCATTTCTAATTTGCTTCTGTCATGATATAAAGATTAGACGTGTTTTGGTGTGTTTATATAAAATGAAGTACTCCAACCCACTTAAAATTTTGACTGTGGCATTTGGTGAGTCTACTTTGGACAAAAAAAAAAGTGTGTAAGTAGCCCAAGCTTTTCATAGAAGACCGAAAAGATGTTAATGACGATGACCGGCTAGGACGCCCCAAGATGTCAACATCCAATGGAATCGCCGAAGCAGTAAAGAGACTTGTTATGAAGAAAAATCGAGCCACCAAACGAGAAGTTGCTGAGAATGTCGACATATCAGTTGTCTCATGTTAGGCAATTTTTTTGGCATGTTTTGAGGATGAAACGTGTGGCAGCAAAGTTTGTTTCGAAATTGCTCAATTTTAACAAAAATAACTGTCGCATGAGTTTTGATTGCTCAGAAGATTTGCTCGAAAGGGTCTTAATTGGTGACGAAACCAGGCTATATGATTATGATATCGAAGCCAAAGCTCTACCATTCTAACAAGAGCCAAGACCGAAAAGAGCATTCCACGTTCAGTCAAATGCGAAGGTCTTGCTCACAGAAGGTCGTACGATCAATTAGGAATATTAAATTGAAGTTGTGCGCTATTTGCGGGAAGCGTTACGAAAGAAACGCCCGGAATTGTGGAACAATCAGTCATCGATATTGCACCCCGACACCGCGGCAGCTCACACGCCTTGGCTGGTTCGTAATTTTTTCGCCAAAAACAACACCGTCATCATGGCCCAGCCATTTGATCTTTTCCTGTTGTTAAAACTGAAAAGGCCCATGAAAGCAGTCAGTGCTTTGCTACGATTAAGGAGACAAGGACGGCATCGCTGTAAGAGCTCAAGGCCATACCGAAAAGCGCATAGCAGAAGTGCTTTGAGGATTGGAAAAAAACTCTGCCACAAGTGTATTATATCTAATGGGAATAACTTTGAAGGGGACAAAGTAGATGTTGATGACTAAAGAAACATTTTTCAAAAAAAATTAAAAAGTCATGTACATAAGATCATCATAATAAAAAGCTCCTTGTGTACATGAGATGCTTTGCAATTTCCTATCATCCTTTATTTGTCTGCGCGAACGATAGTACGTCCTTTTTTTCATTCTACGCCTCTCAGATTACATGTGTATGCAAATTACCTGATCGTGATGTTCTTGATAGTAATTCAATCAACTTGTTAATTGGCTTCAATTAATGCCGTTCACTCGCACTAAAATTGATGAAAACAACAACTGCAAACGTACATGAAATGCATTTGTAATTGCAAACATTCGGTATTGATTGCTACAGCTTCTCAACGAATGTGATTAGAATATGGCAGGCAAGAGCCACTACTTCCACCTAATTCTATTTTGGCATTTTTAAAACAAAGCGGAACAGGGTGATATATTTCACACGTTGTTTCAATCACTTGACCGAAAGATCCTCTTGTTGAAAATGTAAGACAACGAGGAGATCCAGGGTGTCTTTACCTCGCTGTGCTAGAAAAACCTTATGGCATGTGTAGGCCACGAATAATTATGGATACTAATCAATGAAGTATGTGCCAAATTTTGTTATGTATTTCCGATTTGCTTATTTATAATGATTTGTTCTTATATCTATAGTTCTTTTGTCTGCAAATCTGAAAATTGAAAAAGCAATGAAATTTCAAAGTTTTTTTTTATTAGTATCTTTTGCGATACTATCCAAAACTGCACAAGAGGGACATATGAAGCGAAATGGGTAAGGTCAGTTAAAGTCTGACTCAAAACAAATGCAATTTTGTTATAGGTGAAAAAATATATTTGAAAGCAAGCCGTATAATTGATTTGTATAGTAAAGCTTAACCTCATACTTAATAATAATCGTCAACGAATAAATTACTAATTTCAAGAACTAATTTCCATGCGCTTGAAAGATTTCAACGTTTCGCTCGTTTATTTGTTAAACTCTTACAATTTTACTTCGTATAGAATATATTTATTGTGCATTCGCATTTTCTCATTGCACTTAAACGGTTCTTGGAACAACAACTATAAAATTTACACCAAAATTATTTGTGTAAGGATGTGATATTATGTTTTCTAAAATTTCTCAAGCATTAAATGGTCCATTTTCCATATTTCCACAATCATAGTACATATAATGTTTGCTAAGCCAGTCAGTTCTTTGGTGTTCGATGAGTCAATAATGTGTGGATAAAATGTTGAAAATTTAGCGCATACACACACACACACACACACACACACACACACACACACACACACACACGCGTACATACATACACATTTATACACATCCATATATACGTATATTAATATATACCTACACTCACACGCACGTGCATTTAAGCATATTAATGCACGGTCTTTTAAATATCTATTGAATTAAGAGACAAATAGTCTCTTATCCGTCAAGGGCTATTTTTCGCGTATCTGATCAATTTAAGGAACCAAAATCAAGTCTTCCGGCAGTTTTAATGTAATAGAAAAGAATATGAAAAGATGAAAAGAAATGAATTTACTGAAAAAGGTCAACTTCTACATCTAATCCTCTGATAGCGGTCTACGTCTTCGCCTGTAAGGTGTCTCCTCCACTGGCTCTGATTTTGTTATAGCTGGACTTTCGGGTCTTTTTTTCACTTCCTCTGCTTCACTAATTTCCTCTTCAATTTCCTCCTCTTCTTGTTCTTCCTCTTCTTCTTCCTCTTCAATTTCTTCTATAGCGTTTTTTTCGATAATTTTTGCTTCAATTTCTTTTTTGTTCTTTTTATCAGCCGAATTGACACGATTAGAGGAGAAGAGTCGCTCAGCCTCCTCAGATTCAGATCCGAAGACAAAATCTACTGGTTCTGGACTATCGCTTGTTAAGCATTCACTATGTTCCTCCGACGCATCAGATACTTCAGTTCCTGATAGTGGATCATGCTCTTCATTTTCATGTATAGACAAAGGTCGTTCTAAAAAGATACGATTAATTACCAAGTGTCGTATATTTTGCGAAGGTATATCAATTAAAAATGCCAGAATCAAGGCGCCGACGAAAATCATTATTAACTCCACAGGATTAATCTGTAAATAAAAAGAAAATTGCCTGAGATGTTATAAACAAGCCACAACATTATATTATAGCGCTCACCAAATCAGTGACATGAAACTTAATTGGTTCCTTAACGCCAGCTGTGTTGTACAATATCACTACAAACGTAATTAATTGCATGGGAAATACTAAGCGTGATAATGTAACTATCGACTGTGATGTTGTTAAAAATTTTATAAGCGAATTTTCAGTTTTCGACAGCATAAAAATAAACCAGCACAAGCTTAAACCGTATATTAGAGGACACCAAGAGGCATAAGATGCAGCTTCATTTGAAGAGTAAACATAATCGGTCCGCATACCGCTTGCTGGGGACCAAAAGCACCATAGAATACCTAAGGTAGCTAGAGTCCATCCAACTGGCATTAATTCGGCTGATAAATCGACTACACCTTGATGGGATTTTTGAAAAATACCAGCTCCCAAGCCCAATAAATAAGAAGTGGCCCGACTTATCGGCGATGCATACAAGTTGTTAGCAGTTCGATAAAATTTACTGACGCTAAAAAAAATCATATAAAAATTTAATTGAATGTTAAGAGAACTAGTTTCAGAATTCACTTAATGCCATGAAATAGAGTCATCGATAAATGTTCACGCTGTGTTAATGAATATCTAGCTGCCACGGACATGGCGTGTAAGGCTCCATACATAAAAAATCCAGCATCGGAATCTGTGTAATAAAGCCAAACTACCAAAGGGCCCAACAGATACAGTTGAACTTCTAATGCCAATTGAACCGTAACCGGGGAACACTGAACAAAATAAATTCATCTTGGCTTAATTTTCTAAGCCCGTAAATTAGTTTAAAAAAACTCACAGTTTCTTCGAAGTCAATGGCATTTTGTAAACTCAATAAGTTGCGCCACCACTGTTCCTCACATAATCGAGCATTTTCTCCGACTAAATTTGTCCATAATGGGCCTGAATTCATATGCGGTAAAATCCAAGTTTGAAAACATATTAACATATAAACCGTGGGTAAATATCTAAACGAAATTGAAAATAATTTGATCTCAAAAATCCGTCAAGCAATTGTGAAATTTTCTATTACCTGGTAACTTTCAAGGACACCCTCTTTAGCAGTTGTATATATGATTTTTGTTCCATTTCCTCTGACAGTTGATAAGCCGAAAGAAATCCACTTATTAAGAGTAACGTGTCGATATATATCATCGGATTTCGAATCAATATACTCCACGAATGGTCGAAAGTGTGTATAACGTCGTCACGGTTAGTTATTGGCAAATGGCCAAACATTAAAAATTTTAAACATAAATACAACATAAAAGTGGCGCCAATTTTAAGCACGTGAAACAACGGAAATTGTAAATCATGTGTATCGGGTGTTAATAAAACGTTAAGAGTGCGTTTAGGTGAAAATGATTTGAAAATTTCCAAACCCAAAATATAAAGCGATGGATTTTCTAGAAAGTATAACAAAAAATCGCATTATAATTGTTAAGTATAATAAGTGTATTTGATTTATATATACCTTTGCCAGTTTCTTCTTCTTCAATATGGTTTACTTCCTCATCTTCTTTAAGATTGATTTGTTCTTCCTCTTCTTCTATTTCTCCTTGTTCTGACCTTTCATTCCCCTCCGTCGTTTGACCTTTCGATCTCAATAGCAATCTTAGCGATTGTAGTAGTAACATGAATTTGTCAATAATGGGTTTTATATGAGACCAGTATTCCCAAATCATGGTTGAAACCAACAATAATCCCAAACCTAATAAATATAATCTGAAAGAAAAATTTGATTCAGTTGATATTTTGTCTCTACGAAAAACTAAGAGGAAGTGGAGCGGACTATTTTTTTATTTTTTTTTTTTTTAAATTGATGTTGAACTCGATCTGATCTATGCGACAAAATGCAATCAGTCAACAATTTTATTAATTTTTTTTTGAACAGCGTTTTTCATTACTTACAATGTAGCGCAGAATTTTTTATCCTTTTTTATAATTTTCATAAAGCTTTTGCTTTGCTTTACATAGCAATCGCTGTCGTCTACTTCTGCATGAAGTTCCACACCTGTATTATTATAAATTTGCAGGCTCGATAAAATCATTTCCTGTATCATTTGGCCTGAGCAGGTGTTTGGTACACATATACCCACATTGGCTACACCATAACGTGGTATGAAATGATTGGGCTGAAAATTGTTCATTTTGGGCTTAAATTAGCATTCGCTTTTTGCAAATCTTACGCATTCGATAACTTACATTTCCCAAGTGACCTTTAAATAAACCGCGACCGTGCATCATATGGACCGGAACCCGTAAAGTGGATGCAGTGGCTTGTATTTCAATGTGTGCCAAGCAATATTTGCCACGTATGCGCACTGGCTGATCGGAAGTTACTTTAACTAACGTTTTGATGTCAGTACACATAGAAAAGTCTCCAAATTGATTGATGTTGCCGCGCAAGAGGCCATTAGTTACTTTCGCCGTAGCGTCTAGCACTGGATATTTAAAAGTATTGAACATTTATTACTGAAAGTATAACTAATGCGACTACAACACCTACTCTGAAGGGTCCAAAGTTTATGACCTTTGAGTTGACGCTGAAATATCTGCATTTGTTGACGGCATTCGCTGTCAGGTATGATTAAAGGATCTAACGTAAATAAAGGCAGATTTCGGAGTAAAGATTCAAAATTTTCTTCGCTGGCCGCATCTGCATCACCATTTTCGCTATCATCTTCTTCACGATCGTTAATACGTTTATGTTTCTTAGCATATGATTTAGGCATTTTGATGGGTTTTGCTGTTTTACCTATGGGAAAAAGGCTATTAAAAGGCCAGCGATTCAAATAGTCCAACCAACTCTCTTCGCCATTATTAGCATCTTGTTCAGCAGAGTTTTCGCTATCCTTCTGAAATTTCTCACTCAACCACATTATCCAATCAATAATGCTGTTGCTTTGCTCCTTCGATTCTTCAGCTGAGCGATCATCGTGTTCACCGTCAACATCATCTTTTTCTTTACTCTCACCTCCACCAAAAAAATTACCAAATATAATTGTTAGCCAAGATCCAGAAGACTTTTCTTCCGTTGATTTCTTGAATTTTCCGTCCTTTAAATTGGTATATTTACGAGCTTTACGTGCCTTACGAAATTGATATTCTGCCTCATCGTCTTCGTCGTCATCATTGTCAGCATCATCATCATTATCACCATTATTATCATCATCATTATCATCATCATCGTTATCATCGCGGAGGTCTTTGTCTTTTTTGTCGGAATATATAAATTTAGTGCGTATCGTTTTCTTAACGCTTTTCTTAGTAAAATCAGTATTTTCGTCATCGTTATTATTGTTGTTATTATCTTTGTCATTACTGTTTGCTTTAGATGCATTATCTTCGTCTTCCTCATTAGTTTCTTTAGTAATTGCATCATTCTCTTCATCGTCGTTATCATAATTAACTTCGTCATCATCTTCAATTTCAGTACGCTCGAGTTTATGGAATTTGAATTTCTTCTCTATGGTACGCTTTCTGTTCAGCATTTTGCTAAGACCTTCACTATTACCACCACCACCACCTCCTCCACCGTTGCCTTTACTCTCATCACTTGTTCCATAACTTCCCCAGCCAAAAGATATTTCCTCCGTATTATGGATAAATGTTAGAAATACCAAGAGCACTGCAAAGCCAAGAATTTGTCTACTTTTGCAGGTTGCTTGCCTGGGTATTTTTGATGCCATATTTTTCTTGTTCTTTTTGCGTAATAAATGTTACGAGCCCAAACATCTGCTTAAACTATTTATTAAACATTATTATTATTAAACGGTTTACTTATTTTATTTTATGAATCTCGCTTAATTTTTGATAATCTTTCATAATTTTACGATTCGCTTTTGATTTTTTTTTCTTTTTAATACTTCTTATTATTTTTCACAATTCAGCTAAAATTTTCTAAAAATATGCACTTAGTTTCGTTGTGTATGCAATCTTCCGCCCCTGCGACCATAACCCGTCTTTCCTTACACTGATGCTATACCACCACTTGATGCTTTTTGCGGCTAATAACCGTTCGGTTCGAAAATGTCGCTGCTACTGAACGAATGTGTGCGAATGTTTTCTATATTTCCGTTCACAGCGATCACCCGCGATATGCTGGCCAAAAGGTTTATGGTTTATGGTAAACCAAAAATTTTATTTCATATCTTATCGAATTCCCACAGAAATTTGAAGAAAAGAATTTTGGTTTTTTTTTTTTTTGCTAATTTTTTTATATTTTTTAAAAAATTTAAAAAAAAAAAAAAAAAGAAACAAACGAATGTACTCAAGACAATGATGAAATACAAACATAAACGCAGTTATAGTGCAAAAATTAAACTAAAAAAAAAAGAAAATCATAAATTTCAAAAACAATCGATAAGGTGAAGACGTAAAAACATAGAAACATATAAGCCATGCGGCGGACGCCTCACCCAAAGCGCAAAAATGAACAATTATTATAATTCAATAAAAAAAATGCAATGATAAGCCATTATTTCAATAATTCAATAATAAAAATAATAATAATGATAATGCAAGACGGATTAAGGTACAATGAAGTAATTATTTCTCTCCGTTTTGATTTTTAATTATAATTAGGAGATGTCGTTAAAGCTAAAGCTTGTTGTTGTTGTTGATTTAAATTTACTAAATTATTCGGCATTGGCTTAGGCACACCTGTTGATAGAGTGTTCATTGTAGGCCCACCAGTTTGTTGAGCCGTTAAAAATATTTGTTGCTGATTTTGGTTTTGTTGTTGCTGTTGCTGTTGCTGTTGCTGTTGTTGCTGCTGCTGGTGCTGCTGTTGTTGATTAACAATTGAAGAAGTACTCGGCATCTGACACTGTTGTGCTGCAGATGTAGTGACATAATTGTTGGTTAAAGCCGGATACGGTACATTCGGTTTATCGTAGATGGGAGTTTGCTTAATCGTTTCGAAATAAGAACATCCCGCAACCCAAAGTGGTGGCACCATAATGCGCTGTGCCGGGTGATAATATTTACAGCCCCCAAATTGTACATGACTTAATATGTGGGTGGCTGCAAAACGAGATTGGGTCAAAGCAATCGGTAATAGCTTTAAAGTAACATAACGGAGACCCTCGAATCCACTATCGAAGACGCATACGGAAAATGGTAAGTAAGGACGAGTTGGTAGTACCGCATTAACACCGGTTGCTTTAAAACATAAAGCTAACACTATCTGGGTGTCGTTCAATTTGTAATTTAAAGGTGGTTTATTGCGGTACTTCGGCATAATCGTACCGAATATACGATGTGGTATCAAAGGCCAATTTTCCAAATAACTACATTTAGATTGTACACGAAAACTTTCCATATAGGCAGCAAGTAGATTTTCCTCTGAAACATATGTTAGGGAATAAATCGCCCAGCCTATATCGATGATTTCGTTATAATCAAAAAAGAAATCGGTTGGCACACCACACGAGGCTATAAAATCTACTGATTGGATATTTTGGGCGACCATTCCCACTGTAAGGGGATAAATGTAAAAAAAAACCATTAAGTAGTCTGTGTGCGGAACCAAAGGAAACGTTTACACTTACACAAGTGGGCAGTGTCTTTTTCTACATGAAATACATAATTGTAGTCGGGGAAGGTCCCAATCGTATCAATAAGTACACATACGACCTCGCACATACGCGAATGTATATCCACTAGTTCGCTGCAATTCATAATGCAGAAAATAGCCCTTACATTACCCATAGAATCACGCAGCATAATAGCTCCATATTGCAGGCGCTCCTGCTCATAATAGCAACTAAATATGACGACCGGTATACCCCAACCATTAGCAATGCACTTGAGGCGCAAGACAGCGTCGTAATCCCTATTGCGCATACGATGCAATGATTGCCTGAAAATATTTTAAATCTGACAAGCTCTTATCTTACTGAAACTTTCCAACAAATTTACTGTTCTGAGGGTTTTGCCCATTCCAAATCTAAACGTCGGCTCTTTAAAAACACACCTTGCAATTGTTTTAGACATAATTCAGCCGCCTCTCGGCAAGTAAAATCTAAAAAGGCCGTAGTTCGTACCTTGGAGACTTTACGTATTACCGTGCGTGGAACATACTGCACCAACAACTCAATCAAATCGCGATTGTTTATTGTTAAATCAACATTGCGAACAAATAATGTTTTTGATTGCTAGAAAAGGAAAAAAATAAAAAAAGAAAGAAGAAAAGGACAGGACCTGTCATGATAATCAAAGTTTTTTGCGAAATCCAACATTTACCGTTTTTGCCATTTCATAGTCACGTCCCGTATTAGCCCAGACAACTTTTAAATCACGGCCCCACAACCGTATTAAGCCAGGATTAACGCTCTTTTTGGCCTCCAAAGCATGCAAATGAGAGGCAAATTGTACGAAGACATGACCGCGATTGCCACCGCCGGCAGCGGCAGGCGATTGAACATTATTGTTATCTCCGAGTGTCAAACTCTGTGGGCCAAGGCTGCTTGGGTTAGAATCCTCAATTGGAGGGCCAGCAGAAGCCGCTCGTCCGTAAATACGTTGCATTTTCGGAAAAACAACGCGTAGTTTCTCTTCAATTTCAAACTCATCCAAGTGCTTTGGTATATTATTGATGAAAAGGCGACATTTCTCATAAGAATGCAAGATCTCTAAGCGAAGACGTGGTGCCACATAATAATGATTGAGCACCTCCATAGCACAAGCAGCCTCTTCTTCTGTAGTATATTTAACATAAGCGTAGCCTCGATTAGCCTGATTAAAGTCCATAGGTAAACGTAACTCATAGATGCGTCCAAAACGCAAAAAAGGCGCTAATAATTTGTGCTCATTCAAATTCTTGGGTATGCGACGCACAAATAATTCGCAAGCACTAGTTGGTGGCGGTCCCATCCAATTTTCGGGTGGTCCCAATACTTTACGGCCGTTCATTTGTACAAGTTCCATGATGGGGACACAAATGCAATTGCACGGCGAATGCTTCATGTTGTACCCACACATGGTAAGTCCTTGATCCCCGGAGTCAATTCCACACATTTGGTTCTGATGTTGTGGTGGGGTTATACCTCCGCCCATATGTGGGCACATCATAACCGGCGATGGATTTACGGTTTGTTGATAATTATTTCCATTACCCATAACATAACTCATATTGCTATAAGTGGACATTACAAGCTTATGGAGGAATATATTACGGCTCACCGTTTATTTTCGAGAGAAATTCGTTTTCGACTAAATTTAATTGAAATGAAAAAATTTTCTTGCTAAAATTTTAATATACTTGAAAGAAACTTTTCCGTTGTACAAGCAATGTTGCTAAGATCATTAAAAAAAAAAATCAAAATTTGCTCCCGTAAATACTGCCAAACGTACAGCAAACAAAACTAGCCATCCTTGCTTTTTTAAGCAAAGTATGAATATGTGTGAATATATTGGACGCAGAAACCTACGTATACTGATTAAAGACTCTTACGCATGCTGTTACAATTTATATATACTTTCAATGAATGAGTTTTTAGGCACTATGATTCGGCTATTATTCAAAAAACTTATTTAACACGTGTGTACTTAAGTATTTCTTTGCTGCACTCGTGCGAAATTATTGCACTGATCTCTAAAATTACTAAATTGACGGTATGTAAAAGTTAGCATATGAATATGCATAATGTTGCGTCTTTTATCTAAAAAAAAAAACAAAAAAAAAACTATTTTTTTTTTGTGTCTCGTGTAGCTTTCGCCTTTTTAATTCTCCATTTTTGGAATCGAATGCGTGGCTTTTTCTAAAACTCCGTAAATTTATCCTTGGGTTTTAAAAGAATTTCAAAGATAATCCGCATATATATATTATCAAATATATTTATTTTTTGCTATTGTAGGGTAAGTTTAATTCGTTTTTTGGTATTTGTATGATTTTAGCTACTTTTGTATATATACATTTATGGCAGGCAGCACTGTCACTTTTAATTGTTGAAAAATAATGCAAAGCAAAAGTACCGTTGTTTTCTAATGTCAAAAAATTTTCATCAATGAGAGTAGTTTCGGCGTAAAACCGCGTTGGATAGAAGTTTTAATGCGCAGTTTAATCACGAATTTAGTAAAAATTATTTTTATTTTGTGGTATGGAATTCTATTGCGAATACTATAGGAGCAGCGTTGCGTACAAAGCTGCAATTTCAATGCCGATTATATTGCAAAATGGCCGGAGAGTTTTTGGTCCTCGAAAGATTGCCAATGCAGCTATACCCACTCATAGATGTGAATTATATGTGGCTCGTATCCCATCGCAGCTTGATGAATTGGGTTTTCTCGTTTGGCTGCATCGTATTGGTCAAGTATACGAATTTCGTTTAATGATGAATAGCTGTATTTCGAGCAGGGGATACGCGTATATACGTTTTACTAAAGAGCGCGAAGCATTAGCCGGACTAGAAATGTTGAAACATCTCTTCATCAATGGGGAACGTTTACAAGTTTCGCCATCCGAGGGGAAAAATAGATTGTTTTTAAGCTGCATTCCGCGACACATTCCCATAAGTCTATTGGAAGAAAGCTTGAAATTATATTTCCCTAAAATGCATCGCTTTGCTGCTTATCGTCCAATGAAGGAAGAGATGCAGGGAATAGGCCAAGAGAAATTTTTAAATAGAGGTTTTGCGTTTGTTGAATTTGCTGATCATGAAGATGCCCTAGAGGCTAAAAAAAGATTCACGCCCTGTAGAGTGCGTATGTGGGGTGCAGACTTAAAAGTGCAATGGGCGAAACCCAAAGAGGAGGTACAAATTGTGGCTCAATCACAGTTAATTCGATTTAAAGATAGACACGAAAGATCTTAATATATTTTGTTTAATAATTTTTGCAGAAATCTCGTGGTCCGATGGCTTATAGGTGAGTTGTTACCTTTTAGAATTATTGTGAAGTCGAAGAGCTTTGGTAAGCTAACTAAGTAATCTGGACTGCTTATTTATTATATCTATTTATACTAATAACCACCGTTAGAGACTTTTCTACGAATAATAACGTGAAGGATGACTGCAGCCGATTACGTCTATATTGTTTGGCTAACAATTGGTCCATACCAGTGATATTGTATGGTCGTAGCTTTCGTTCACGAAATTTACAATATGGGGGCGTGAGTTTTTCCAAGATAATTTTCAAATGGATTAAGTTAACATTTTTTTTTCTTTTTGTTTTGTTCAGATTCTTATAAAGAATATCTTTTCGGGTCTTCATTCAATTATTATTGTGGAAATCAATGTTACTTCCATGTCGGATATTCACTTGCTGTTGTGTGAGTTAGCCGTTCAAATGATTGAACGTCACTCTGCCATACCACCGTATAGTTATATTATTCGCGCATGCAGCAACACAAAGGCTGAGTTAGGTAAATCAAAGATGAATTATTTTGTATGAATTATGCCTTCTATTTCATTTAATATATAGTACATTTACTTGAACAAAATGACGATCTATATCGAGCTAATCTCGAAGCTAAATTTTTCAGCTTCACAGCGATACGAGAACTTTTAGTAGCCTTACAATTGATAGCTGCGCATAATTCTAAAATAGTATTGAACATGTACAAACGTGCTTTCCTTACTCACAATCCGGTGGCTACTTTTTGTTTAGACTCAAACCATCCACTGGGACAATTTTATGCTATTTTGCCAAAATTTCGTAATAATTCTAAATTGAATAATGATTTCAATGATATGGAAATAAATTTATTATTAAAAGTAAAAGAAGATGTCAACACCACCGATAGTGTAATCGAGATAAAGACAATCAATGAAATTTGTGTGAAACGAGCGATATTTAAAGCAGAAAATCTTTTCTTAAAATCGCAGAAAATTCCAAAAATTAAATATCTGCGTTATGTGGATATTGAGGCATTAATATCTAAGGAATGTTACGATACTCAGCAATATATAAATTCAAACCCAGTTTGGATAGCTGGCCAGACCTATCAAGATGCTATTTATAACTAATGTGTACGGCTGTTTTAGCATTTCTTTTATTACTTTTACCTGTAGAGTTAGAGGCTGGGCATATTTTTTTTTTATGATCATGACTTGAGATTAATAAGCATTACGTGAACATTTTATTTGTTTTGTTCTTTTTTTTTTTAAATATTATTCGAAATCTTAATCGATTGTATTCTTTTTTATGTTAACAATTTTTTATCAGAATAGTGAGAGAAAAACTTAATATTATTATTATATTGAAACATTTATTTAATATAAAGTACAAAAAACAATTTTTAGTTTAAATTTCTTACCTCTCGAGTGCTCCTGCGCCATATAGGTAATATCATGTGAATCAAAATTGAATAAAAAGTCAATGAAACTAGAGAAAAACTGTTTGGTAGTTTTATTTGTATTTTTAAGATTTCAATTTTTTTTTTTTTGTATTTACTAATTTTAAAAGGAATTTAAATCGTCGTCTTTTACTTATTTCCATTTGCTTCCTTAAATGTTGTTTTATTGTTTTATTTATTTAGGAGAAGTCTTATTTTCTTTTTAATTATTTTTGCCTTTTGGACTAAAGTAATTGCCTTGAAATTTATTTAAGAATTTTTTTACTAATTTTACTAGGAAAAAAGAAAAAATTAATATATGTGTGTTTTTTTTTCAAAATTAGGAATTATTTGCTCTTTTTTTGTATACACTTTTGATCGATTTTTTTTATAGAATATTGCGTTGTGTAGAGTTTTCGTTCTCTGTTTTTTTTTTTTTTTTTTTCTGAATCATCTTATATATGCATATTAAAAATTGAATCAAATTCCTCAGTGCTTGCAGTGCAAATATTGGTAAATCAATTTCTTTCGGTTTTTCTTTTCTTTGTTTTTTGTTTTTTAAATATATATATATATTTTTCAAATAAATTATTTACATCTTTTTAATAAGATAAAAACTAGAGAGAAGAAATTTGGAAGTAAACGTTTGAATTTCCTCAGCTTTTTATATCTTAAATAACTAAGAGCTTAATTTTATGTAATTGTACCGAACTTACTGGATTTTGTATCCGAATATTTAGTTTCTTCCGGAATCTATGGTACGTTTGATGCTCTCAAAGAAACAATTGTGTAATTTAGTTTATGAAATACTCGCAAATATTTAAAAAATAACTAAAAGCGAAAATCATGGAAACAGCAATAGTTTTTATGATTTTGTATTTGAGTTTGGTGACTATTCGAGCTGCTTCGTCGCTGCTGCGGCAGAAACTAAACGATTGACATTTTTATAAGCTCAGTGAAGAATATTTATTTAATAGGGGATTGAAGTCCCTGTCAACAAGTTATAAAAAATCTATTGGTTCGTAAGGTTGATGGCTTTCTTTTAAAATCTTTTTCTGAAAATTTTGTAATGGGGTTTAGGTTTTTAATAAATAAAATATCGTACGTGTACGCCTCAGTGAACGCATATGTTTTTGTGTATCCTTCAGCAAAAGATTGCTGGAAGAGATAGATTGACTATCGGCCGTTCATTCGTTAATTTTTAGTTACAAGGAAGAGGATAGGAGGAAGAGTTGATACCTATATTCTATGAGCACCGAAGCGTAAACCTGCGTGTAATTTGCCAACAAATTCGCAATAATTGAAACACTTTAACTTGCGCTACGGTCTATGCCATATGTAGAATTTCATATTTGGAACATATATTCATCAGAGCCATATAAAGTTCAGTTGCAATTTATGCAATTTTTTTTAAAATGACCAAACACTCTGGAATATTGCCTGTACGTGTAACACGGTGGTAGTCTCCAATTAATGAAATGCTTTGCGATTTTTTATAACTACCAACGAACGATGAGCGCATGTTCGCTTTATGAAAATGTTTACCACATTGAAAGGGATACATCAGATATTTTATGAAGCATATTATATTGTTAATCAATACAAAATTTGTAATCAAAATTGCCAAGAACATTGCAGGTTGATATTCAAAATAGTCTAGATAGATGATCTGATCAAAGGACAGACCTACGATTCTATTTTCAAAGCCAAAAAAATAAGTTTTTGCGTACATACTGTTAAAATTATAACAGACACATAACGATAAAGATTATCATGAAAACATTTGTATGGATGATGCTATCGTACGTATATTATAGAGTATCGAAGTTTCATTCTTCGGGTTATTCATATAAATAAGCTTCCTGTCATAAAATCATTCTTCCGAAAACTGAATATTTTATTTTGTAAAAAGAGATCATTTTTAATAGTGCTTGGCGAAAGTTGGTTCACGATAGTAAATTGTCGATTTTACTGATTTTTGACCACACAGGTCTTTTTTTGGATACCACCGCATATAAAGGTTCTCAGGAAAAATAAACCTATATGTATTTGACGTAAAAACATTTAATCACTTTTTTCTTGGAACCCACTCCATGCAAGAGTTTTCATGAATCGTAAGCCCTTCGGAAAAAGGTTTAATTTTTAATATTTTATGATGAAAATTGGTAACATATAGGGGTTATCATGAAAAGCAATCCCTTATATGGAGAGAAAGCATAATTTCTATCTTTCTACGGCGGAAACAATTTTTAGAAAATAACTTAAGTTCGTTAATTTTGGATCATGTCGTATGATGTTGTACTCATAATCGGGTACGCTGGGTTTCATGAAAGTTATGTCCTTGCATGAAAATAATGTAAAAATTTTATTGTGTTGTTAACAAAATCAGTGAAGAACTGTACTTTGCGAAATGATCGGCCTTGCTCGACTATATTATTCTTTCTTGTTATAACTATTTGCCATTTGTACCATATATGATATCGGGTATCAAGTAGACTTTCATTTTAATCAACGTATGCAAAGACGATAATGTATACGATATATTTGCCCGTTTTATGTTAGCTGTGGCGATGAATAATAGATGGTTCGATTTAATCAGACTATAGCTTTTTTATATTTTTTATTTGTTTTAATGTCCTTTCTGGTTGTAAACGAAGCAAAATGAATGAAAATCGCAATAAAAAATTAAGCTTTTTATCATTTTAGACCAAATCATTCTCGACGAGGTTGAAATATTTCTTTGGAGGGATAATAAATAAGAATCGCTTAGTTATGTTTTTATATCTGCCATTTACGTGCATTTTCCTATATGTATATATCAAACATAAATACCTTTAGAATAGCGAAAGTGACGAGGTTTCTCTTGCCTTGTGACATTTTCTGACGACAGCATAATGACTTAGAAAGGAACTTTAACAATCAAAGTCACTCAGAAGGGAACATTTCCAATACAAGTGGCATCCTCTTCGGAGAAGAGGATTGGAAAGGATTTATTGAAATTAATTCTGACAATTGACGGAAACGGTTTGGATTGGACCATTATCATGACCATTATGATCTCCATATAACGGCTTACTCTGAAAATGTTATAAGAAAAAAAATGTTGTAATTTTTGAAGCTTCTTGCCAAAAATCGCCCAATAACAGTCTTTCATCACAGCAAGCTGATATGTGAGCTTTGAATTAAATGGATCAGTTCTTCGACATTTTTCCCATACAATCGTTCCCACGAAAAGTAAGCGTTTATTATATCGCGGAAAAATTTGAATCTTAACATTATGTTATGAAAATTTGTTCATTACAGTAATCTGTCATGACAATGACCTGTACTGAATTTGAACTATATAGGCCCCCATGTTACAATTCTTAGTAGTTTATAGCGAGAGTTGGACCACGTTAGATCACATCTTCGATTGTCTCTTATATAAGGTAAGTAATCCGTAATTCCAGCACGAAAGTAAATAGAGAATTGTATTAGGCGAAGTGATCTTATATATTTAATGTCCGAGTATAATGTTTTTTATTGGTTTTTTCTATTATCTTTCGAGCGTGTATGTTTCGAACCATACGAAATACGAGAGAAGTTTTGTTTCACAGCGTCAAAGAGCTCTAAGAGAAGCTTGCTTCTAACGGGCCAACATGCAAGGCATGTTTTAAATGATTGAGAAATGGTAGCTTGAAATGAAAATTTGTTACAAATACTATAAAAAGACTTACGACAGATTCTTGAAAGAGACGAAGAAACTTTTTAGCATTGACAAATAAAAGAACGTTTTCAAATGTTTGCTAGCGACGGATGCGGTCCAATGCACAAAAATTGCCATTATTAGTTTTTCAATAATATTTTTCTTTAGAAACGATCTGTTAGCTTTTAATTTCAGTACTTTGAGATTACGATTACATGTAACCGATTATTTGTAGAGTGGATAGAGATATGTGCATGTTGCTGCGTTCAGAGAGACGAGATTTTTTAAAATAAACTCCATAGTCAATTGGTTGTGTTGGAAATTCATAAAATCAATTTGTTAATCCAGACGCACATACAAATGTTTATAGATATTTGTTTCGGGAGGATTTGAAATTTCGAAGGATTATATGAGTGTATGGTCCTTCTAATTTTTCGTATACATTTAAAAAAAAGATCTTCTTACAAAATTACTCAATAGTAGTTTCAGTTAATAAATGATTAAGAAATCGCGTCAAATGATTTGCAATCAATTTTTGTTATTTAAAAACACATTGTTTTGTTTTTTTTTTCTTTGTTTTCGCTTTACTTTGAAATGAACGCTGTCTATTTACATTTATAATATGTATATACTTTTTTAATAATAATTTATTAAATTCAGAATATTTTTACTTGTTAACAAAAAAAAACCTCTTGTGTTTAGAATACATTTTACTTTAATAAATATAATTAAAAGTTTATTAATATACTATTTTTATAGTCATCACCGGATAGATAAACTTAAAATACATAGCAGTATCATAAATGGAGTTTAATATCTGTTGGTTATATGTTGGTTAAATACATATATACAAAATTTAATAAGCATGTAAAACTTTGAGTGATCTTAGGCGGGTTTGTCCCTAGGTTTGGGAAATGCGTTTATATCTATGTTTTATTGATCGATTGTCGATCAAATCATTTTCTGAATGTTTCATGCCTGTCCACGTGTTCTTGTATCCAACCTAAAGGTCGCGATTTTTGAGATATTTTGATGAAATTTGATAAACTCACGTGTTTTGGACCAAAGACGTTGAAAATGGTTCGGATCGCACCACTT